ACTTCGACTGCAAGCAAGAACATAACCGATCCCCATACAGAAACAGTAGACTCAACAGTCACAATCTACTCAGTATTTACATGGTATTAGATAGAGTAAGTCATCAAAAGATAAAATAAATAAAAAAGTAAAGTTCAATTTATAGAGTATAAGGCTTGACTTGAAAAATAGTAGAATTAAAAATGGCTTTCAGAATCTTTCACTTTGTATTTTTAAAAGTTTTGCATCATGAAGTGTATTGAAAACTGAGGAGTTTATATAATCACATAAATGATCTATGAATAATGTCACTGTGAGGATAATTTTATACGTGGTACTACCTCCTAGAAAATAATGGAACAAAGTTGAACCAATGTCAGTTATTGATATGCATGTGACAAAATGACAATTACAGTGACTTCCATAATTATTGTACCACTTCATTTTTAATTTTTAGATTGTGATACCTGAATAATTATGTGACAATAAGGCTAAAATTTTAAAACAATTTAAAGCCTGTAATCAGATTTTTAATATATTTAAATTTGAGTATTACTTAATTTGTGGCTTTTAAAAAATTTCTTTATATGCAATTTTTTCAGAATACAATACTTTTGAAATTAAAATTAATATAATAAAGTTATAATCATATAACGTATATTATACATATAAGTAATTTAAATCAGTAAATCAATTTGTACACCTTTCTTTTGTATTTTTTTTTTAAAATATATTATGAAGGTGATTCCACTTCATCAAAGGGAATGTATTTTTGCCCTTATCCAAGAAAGTTTACCAAGTTATACAATTGTTTCTTGCGAAAATATAAATCATACTTCTGTAATAAGAATTAAATGAAGAAAAGAAGAAACAGGTAGCTTTTATGTTATTCTAAAACTAGGCTGTCTAAGAATACTTACAGAACGTCATGATAGGAATATTGCTAGGCTTATTAAGTCAGGTGAATGTATAAATGCTATTCAAATTCAAAAATCTTTAATTTTCAACGAAAATATTATTATTTCATCAAATACTATTTGACGCTCATTAAAAGGGCAAAGTCTTATAACTAGAGTTAAAAAAAACTATTACTGCTAAAGAGACATAGAAAAGTACAAAAAAAATTTGAAAAATATAAAAATTAGACTATAGAAGATTAGCGAAAAGTAGTTTGATCAGATAAGAGTAAATTCTTAATTTTTAGCTCAGATGGAGAGAGTGGTATTGGAAAGATCTAAATTTACCTTTGCAACCATAGCATATTAAACCAACTGTAAAGTTTGATAGGGTTCTATAATGATATGGAGCTGTATAGGTTCATTTGGCATTGGAAAATATTGTAAAATTAATGGAAGAATGGATGGAGAATTATATAGAGAAATTTTGGAAGATGAGTTTTTAGAGACTCTTAGCGTGTGTGATTTAAATGTAAATAATATTATTTTTTAACAGAATAATAACCCAAAATATACAGCAAAGAAAACATACAAATGGTTTGATAACAATAATATTAAAATTTTAGATTGGTCAGTACAATCACTAGACTTAAATTCCATTAAATATTTGTAAAATAAAATTAATCATTATTTGCGATAGCTTTCTGATAATATTACTAGTACAGAAGATTTGTAAAATAAGGTATAATTAGTATAGAATCAAATTGATGCTGAATTTTGTTTAAAGCTAATTGATATTATGCTACAATGAGTTAAAGATATATTTAAGGCTAATGGAGGATATACGAGATGGTGATAGTTTTGTTAAAAAAAATTAGAGCATAGTTTATTAAAAAAAATTTGAAAAATTTATGTTTTTGATTTTATTTTTATGTGCTAAAAGTATTGTATTATAAAATTTATGGTTATGAAAGAATTTTTTTTAAAATTATAAATAAAAAGAAATTTGAATTTGAATATATTATAAAAGAAGACCCAGACAATATATTAATTAAATCTGCAAATCATTCAATCATTGAATTTTTAATTATTATAATCTAAAATTACAAATGAAGTGGTATAATAATTATGAAAGTCACTGTATGTTATCATTAGAAACGCTTGATAATTTAATATTTTTGATGGACAAGTAGGATTAGCATGTAACATAATAAGTTTTACATTCGAGTTAAATGAATTCTACCATCTTTCTAATCAAAGTCTGTATTTTCTCAGCCTTTCATTTATAAGGAAAATACAAGAACTGGAATTTTTACAATAAGGCGCATTAAATGTTTTATATCATAAATTTAAAAACTAACAAATTGCTGATATTCTAAATGTTAAAAGCAAATTAATCAGAAACCTCATTAATATTTAAAATAAATTAGATTTTTTATTTTCATATTTATTTAAGAATAGAGTATATTATGTCTTATATTTTGCAGTTACAGAGAAATAAATATCTAATTATTAAAAAATCAATAAAAGTTTAAAAAAAAATCAATTAATTATAACAGTTATATATTTAATATATATATATAATTAAAAATTACATTGCATAAATCCTGATTATTAATATTTATATAAGAAATATAATTAAGGACCCCTCTTTTTATTGGTTTGTGCTGGAGAAAATTATATATTTAAAAAAACTCATTTTTTTTCAGACAAATGTGAGAAAAATATTTTATTATATCATTATAATTAATATAGTCAACTCTTGTTATAATGAACTCTATGTTCTAGACTTCAACTTTACTATAAGGCTATAGTGAAGAATTTAAGAGATTTGATTGGCCAATTCGCTATAACAAGAGTATTTTTATTATATTTGTTCAAAAAATTTGTTATATTAAGAGTTCGTTATATTAAGAGTTGATTGTATAGAATATATCACGCTAACTTGTATTTATTTTTTACATGCTATATTATATTATTATTATACTAATTAATTTATTTACATGACAATATCTCCATTTCTCGCAGTAATTGCTTGAAGCTTGATATAAGCTATCCTTATTAGTACATATACTCACTTTATTTACTTTTTCTAAATAAATGAGACTAATATTTTATAAGATAAATATGCAGTACTATTTGATAGCAGTTTACTTAAGTAAATGTGTAAATGTATAGACAAGTAATAGATTATATGAGACTTTTGCTAAAATCAATGATTTTTAGTCAAATATATTCAGGTTTAGTATTACTATAACTTAATTTTTATAATTTTCCTCTTTTTATTACAAAAGTCCTGTATATTCTACATTTAAAATAATTATAAAGTTAAAAATTATCATTAAAATGAATTTGGAATTGATTCTCTAAACAAGAAAAGCTAAACTTTTAGATTAGAAAGCCAGCGTGAATTTGAGTATGCTAAGCTTAAAACTTAGAAAATACTAAGCTTTTAATATTAATATAAAAGATAAATTAGCACAAATCTCACAAGTTTAATAATTTATTTTAGCAATCAGTTTTGCATGACAGATCACAATATATTATAATGTAGAGTTAAAGAAAATTTTACATAAAAATTATAAAAGCAAATAAGAGAAAAAATGCATAAAAACTATAATTATAGAAGTTTATGCGAACAGGAAATAATACAAAAAATCAAAAAATCATACTATTTTTTTATTTTTCTTTTTTTTTCTCTTATTATTTTTGGCTTTCTTATGATAGGTTTTGATCTGGGATTTCTGATCTTTCTGATATCTAATAATAGAACCATTTGAAAAAGAGAAGAAAATTATATAAAATTATGGTAAAAAAAAATAATCAAAACTTGCATACATACTATTTTTAATTTCAAAAACAGTCTTATTATCATCAATGTTTTATACTATCTTACCAGTCCAGGGTTTTGTTGCTGCCTCTACCAAAGAATTTCCAACTGGCCACAATACTTCAGACATTATATCTAAGTTAAAGATACGACTATAATAATCTAAGAAAATTGTTTCGTAAAGAAATGTTCTAATAATGATGATGTGAATTAAACTAAACTCATTAATCTCATTCAGATAATAATTATTTTCTGTTTCTTTGCATAATATAATTTTACAATACAATAACAGTCTATTTTATTGACAATTATTTTGACTACCATGGATAAAATATTATAAGACACACAAGATTCATTGAATCTATTACCTTCTAATATATGATATATGAAATCAATATTTTCACATTTTTTTATGTTATTGTTCAGCTGAACAAATCTACATTTGGTCTATGCAATACTTCCCATAGGACAGATTTTGCATAATTGTTCTAAAGATGCATACATGTTTTTGATTCTTTCAATGTTAGGGTAATACTTATCTATTGATATATTTGTATCTGATCCACCCTTGATGTCACTATCTTTGATTTTATTTCTTTTAGCATTTTCTTCATTATTGCTGGTAATAACTGCATCCTTTTTACTCCTAGCTCTCTTTACATTTTTTTTGATAGCTTTTTCATTATTTCTAGTTGTAGTATTAAGTGAACTACCATTTAATATATGAATCTCGTGATTTTATAATTCTGTGTCAAATAGGTAAGATTTATTGTATATAGGCTATACTTTTTTCTTCTTTTCTTTTTTTTGATCCATTCACGCAAATACTTTAACTTTTGTATGAAAAATACTGTCTGATTCTCTTAAGTCACATTCCTAATAGGGAGTATAATATAAAAGGTATACAAAGATATATTGCATCCTATACTGTAATAATTAGTATCAGTAAGAAATAACCACATATTATTTTCTTACCTGCATCTATATGATATGCATTTATAGGTTTTACATAATTTTAGAAAAAAACAACTGAATGATTTAAACAAATTTATTTACCTGAATGGTCTTAAAAATATTGAGTTAATAAGTCTTTCTCGATAAGAGAGTTAAGTAATCATGAAATTGAGATTTTGATTACTGTGTAATTCTTTATGCGAATATTATACAGAAAAAAATTTATCAGTAGTACAGATTCAATTTATTATGTGGTAATGATTAGTTACTAAATCTCAAAATAATTAGATACTTCAAAAAAATTAATCTATTAAAAAATTTATCAAAAAAAGTTTCAATTCTAAACTATGTTAATTATCTTTTAGATTAAATTCATTGAGTATTTATTAGCAATTTTTTGGTTGTGATTGACTAAATATATCTGTGTAACTTAATAGACATAATTTAAAAAAAAGCTAAAACAGTATTGGTGAAAAGATAAGGCATTTTTGTGTTTCGTAAAACTGATGATACATCCTTTTCTATTTAAAATATTAATTATAGAGTTAATATTTGTTAAGATAATTGTCTTAATATAGATTAGACAAATAAAAAACTGTTATATCAGCAGGTATTAATATAGCTTCACTTTATAAACAAGCAAATCAAATCAATAATTTGTTTAGTTACTCATTTTAGGCTTATGATTATATAATATAATGTGTGTATCTGAGAAATTTTTTCATGTAATTCTAGATTCAAAAAATATGATAGTGAATTCATAAAAGCAATTAAAATTTCAAGTTTATTCAATAAGACAAAACTCTCAAAGATATTTGAGATGACTATATATGGATTCTTATAATACCAATTCTCTACAAAGTGTTTTTTGAGTGCTGCTTCTTAAAGGCTTCCTCAAGTATTTATATGTTACTTATACTGTTTATCTTATATCTTAATGGTAAATTCATACTATAGATAGTAAATATCAAGTTCTAGATCTCAAGAATATTTGAGTATTTCAAGATATCTAATTTTATGAATGTCAGAAGATTGTTCAAAAATTTTAATTATAATTTTGCAACATATGCTTTCCTAATATTTAAGCAATATGATTAATTATTTTTAACTTTAAAATTAATTAAATTATGATAAAACTTTATATTTAATTTATTTAATAAAATTAATAAGTAAAAGTTTTAATATATTAAATTAAATTAGTATCATATTTATATAAACAAACCACTTATGACCCTTATTAAATAGTTTTGATTATTTATAAAAGATGCATCAGAATACAAACATTTACATATACATATACCTTTCCTATTATAAGTGATTTTCTTAGCTTTTATGAAAAAATTATCATTACATTATGAACTCTTATTAATTCAATACCTTGATTAATACATTACTTAATAAACTTATTTTTTTTACATACATGTTTTTTTAGAATATTGATAATAAAAATAATTATATTAGAAAATTTTCTTACTTAGTAAGAATACTATTATAAATAAAATTATTATATAAGTTGATTGCTAATAAATCAGATTTCAAAAATTTTTTAAAAATTGAGATTTTTATTGCACTTTAGTTTTGATGTTATTAGATTAAATGAACTTCTTATAAAAGAAAGAGAGGAAACTACTAAAAAAATTTTTTTTTGTTTTATAAGCTAAATATTATTTTTTTAATAAAATAAGTTCAAATTTAACATTAACTCAAAAAAATTTTTTTTAGTAGTTTCCTTCCTTTCTATTGCAAAGAGCCTATTTACTTTTAGTAATATTAATTATAATAGAATATTATAAAATTTATTATGAAAAACAACTTTAATTATTACACTTTTTATAATTTACTAAGAAATTTTATGACTTTTATTAATAGTAAAATGATTTAATTAGTTTGTAAACATATAAATTTTAAAATATATATTAAATTATATATTACATATAATTATTATATTATTAAAATTAATATTTAATATTTTATTAAATATAACATATTTTTTAAGTTTGCAGACAAATTTGCTTACTAGATAATCTAAAAGATAATATCTTACTAAATTATTCTATTATTGATAAATTAAAGGATACTTTTCTTTTTAATTTAAAAAATTTTAAAAAATAGATTTTGATCAAATATATATTAAATTTTATAATAATAATTTAATTATTATCTAAATTTTATATAAATAATACATTATTTTATTAAATGAATATTTTAATACTATAATATAAATGAATAATAAAAGAAAATAACAAAAGAGCTTATTTTTATTAAGTCTATTTTTTTAAGTTAATCTATTATATTTATATTAAATTAAATATAATATCAGTAATTTATGAAAAATTTTTATTATTGTTCAGAGCGTAACTAAGGACTATATATATTTATAAAAGGTGATCACAAATAGAATCATGTGCTGATATCTTATTGTCCGCATATGCTATGTCATGATTTTGTGCTATGTTTATAAATAAATAAGAAAACATTAAACAAAATAAAGTATTACAAGTGTTACATATAGTATTACGAGAGTGAAAGAAATTATAGAAAAAAAAATAAAAAAAAATTATTTTATATTTATATTTTATTATAATGGAATTTTGAGCTCTCAGTTTTTAGGTATTATAGAAACTAAATGTTTTTCTTCATCTAATCGTTCTTGTAGTCTTTTACACTCTTTAATATGCTGAAGTCTTTCAAAATTAAATGGTTTAAAAAGTAAATCTTCAAGTGTACGTTCTCGTGAGATTGTCACAAAAGAAAGACCTGTGGCAAATTCTTTATTTTCAAGATCAATTACGGCATTTTATAGCGTAAGACTTTGACTTTTATGAATCGTAATTGCTCACACAAGACGAATAGGAATTTGCAAACGTGAATAAGAAACTCTGAATTTACTGTTTCAGATACGTTGAATTAGTAGAATGGATACAACTCTTTTACTCTCTATGCTAGTGATTGTGGGATCTTTGTAATTATCAAAAGAGATCAGAACTGCTATGGAAAGGGAAGGTAGTCCTTGATCTTCTTGGAAAATTATATCTTAGACAGTTCTCATTGAACTATTGACTAGTATTATTAAACATTTTATTATTAACATTGATTAAAAAAATTTCTCATTACAATAATAAACGTTCTAAATTTACAACAGTTCTCGTTTCCTAATATATATAAAAATATGAAATACTTTATAAGGTCTTATTATATTCTTTTATAAATTATTAAGAAAATTACAAATTAAAAATGATAAATTTTGTTATTTAAATAGAATAAACCAAATATTTAATTATTAATTATTTGAATAATATCAGTGGTATTTTTTATTTATTAAAAAGTTACTATAAATATTTTGATTTAATATATTAAAAAGAAAATTTTATTACTTATAATTATAATAACTATTTTAATAATTTTTGTAAATTATTATTTATTTATTTTTTAATTTTTAATAAAATAAATAAACATATAAAAAAAACTAATAATTTTTATAGAAATATTTTTATATATACTTGAATTTTTAAAATATTATTAAATACTAATTTATTTGATATGCTATATAATATATTTTTATTTTTTTATTTGTTATCTATATATATATTATTATTAATAAAATATGAATAGATATATTTAACTTAAAATAATAATTTTAATAAAATTTTTATAAAAAAAATAATTAATATCTAATAACAGCATATTTTTTAGCTAAATTTAATATAAAATATTTATATTTATCTATTTGCTTTATAATATTATTAATATAATAAATTACATTTTATATTTTAAATTATTATAATTAATATTTTTTATATTTTAAGTTATTATTTTTCTTTAGATAAATATTATACCAAATAAATACTTTAATTAAATATTAATCTATTTAAAAAGTTTATGAATTTTAGATTATTTATAAAAGAAAAAAATAATTTATTTAATATAATTATATTAAAGAAAGTTACAAAAATGTGAAAAATCTTAAATTGATAATAGATATAATATATAATTTATAATAAAAGATTATATAATAATTTAAATTATTACAATTTGTATATTTTTATTATCAAAAGTATTTTAATTTTAGAAATAAATTAATATTATAAATCTTTTATATATTATAAAAAATAATATGTAACTTTTTTATTTGTATTTTCTTTACTATTATTATTATTATTTAGTATAAATTTTTTATATTCTTTTTATTATATTTTTTCAAAATTTTCATAATTTTTAAGTGATTATGATAAATTTTACTTTATTAATAATATGATACTTCATTTTATTGTTATATTATTTTATATATATTTTTAATATAACAAAGATATATAGTATATTTATTAGTTTTATTATTAAATTTTGAATTTAACTTAAAATAAGGATAAAAAAATATAATTGTTTACCTATTTTTATAAAAAATAAAAGTATTATATTGTCAGCGTTGAAAATTTACCTTAGAAAAATGATTTACAAAAGTCATTAGATTTAATTTTATGTAAATATTAAGGAAGATCTTGATTGACGTTGATACCATATGAAGTCAATCTTACTGCGTCACAAAGATTGATGAATGATCAACGTTATTAACATTATTAGTATTTTTAACTTAGTTAATATTTATATTTTATTTATTTTATTCTTATATTTTATTATTATTATTTATTATATTAGTATTATCGTTAAATTTTAATTTATCTTTATATTTATCTTAGCATTATAAAATAGTTTAACATTAGATAATAAATTCTTATAATTGTATTTTTGTATAAATAGGATAGAAACTTGTTCTTGCAAAAGGGCAGAAATAACAGTGTAAACTCAATAGTTCAAGTTCAAGACTTAGAATTCAAGGTTAAGGATTGCTAAGGATACAAATTTTTATAATAAAGAAATTTCTTTCTAAACTACACATATTAAAATCCTTCAATGTGTCAATTGTATTTATCATATTTATAAATTGTTAAAGTTATTTACTCGTCTAAAGTATAAACCTAAGATTGATAGTGATAGAACTTATTTTATAGTAACTTAGTAGTTTCTCGTAT